AGTTCCCTTTCAAGGGTTTCATTAGTGTTGCGACCAAGGTCAGGATGAAATTGGGTGGTGGATAGAACAGACGCAATTAATAGGATAGACTATCATGATGAAGCGGGTTCCTTTAAGACTGAGGCATAGAAAAAATCGTCATGTATTATGGACCAAGTCCCGCATCATGTAATTTATTTTAGCTGTCCCTTTAGGACCAGGCTCAATGTATTGCAAATAAAAAAACGTTTAGGATATTAAGTTACCCGAGCAATATAGTCAATTTTTTTTTTCTCGTGTGGGAGTGATTGGTGTAATTCCTCCATCCCTAGTTATGCAGTGATCGGCTAATCATTTAATCACGTGATTTTTTGTGTTAATTTCAATAATTTCGAAAACCAATATGTATTTAGAACCATACATTTATTTTTTTTTCTTTAATACTTTTATTTATCAAAGATTTATAATTAAAAAAGCATTCTTTATGGATTGAAAAGAAAATTTGTTATCGATAATTAATCTCTACGTGGAACAATGCAATTGTTGATAGTGTGATTAACATAAGGAATTTAATGAAACGAATGCTAGAAATTTTAAGAATAAAATATATAAGGATGATTTTGTTATATAATATCGCGAATAATAAAATTATTGAATGAAATAATGGATGGACAATGGAAAGTTCCTTGATGTTTGTTCGCTAAAATGTCACGATTATTCACATATATTATTATTTTTGTCAGGAAAAGAATTTTTTTTGCCACATGCTTTACTCAGATGAAAGATTTTGTGTAACTAATAAATTTTGAAATTAAAGGTCCAAGAATGTACTACATCAAATCTGATATATTTCACGTTATTTATTAGGCTTCTTTGCCCAAAATATTTGGATTTATTCCCATAAACTATAAAAAGATCTATTTGTTGATAATCATGAGGTTTTATATAATGTGATTTATTTTCACAGTTTAGATTTTATTGATGGAAAAATCAGTTAAGTACTGATGATCATAACAAAAAATTTATTAACAATACGGGTCATTGTTTTCACGTCATATTTTGTTTTTAAGAAAACACTGATGAAATCTGTTGTTCTTGGACATGAAGTCAGCGAGTGGAACTAAGAAAATTGCAAAGAAATCGACGGAGACATCATCAGTCACTTTGAAATTGGAAATATTAGTTCCCATGCCGCCAACAACCATGACAAAGAAGCTTCAGTTAGGGAAATATGGGGTGAGTGCTGCGAAAAGGGACCAAATTAAATTTTTAATCAAAAATTTATTCCTATGTGAATTAGATGTAAGTTTTATCGTTTGATCCGGAACTTAATTATTTTTAAAAACGTTTTTTTACAATTTGGCCCTTTTTCTCACTTACCCATATTTGCCCAAATTTTTAATTAGACTGAAAAACGATATAGTGACTTGTTCGCAGGGAGGTTTTAAATCAAAGGGGATTCGAGCGCTTTTACGCAAAAGATACTTATCGCAATCTACTGGCACATAACAAAAATATGCCAATGGAAAAACGGTTCGTTGATTTTCACGGAATTTTCGTGCAAAACCCGAGTAGTTTTTTTGTCCAATAAATTTGCCCTGATGACTTTATGAGCAAGGTACCTCCTTTCGAGACTCACAATTCAGTCCTATGTTTGTCGTGGAGGTTGATGACATAGAAAATACAAATAGTGCGAAATTCAATCAATTGGATTCCAAATTTAAAACACTTTGCGTCAAATACAGTGGAACCTCACTAAATACACTAATGCATACGCTATAAGCCCCAAGTCTCTAAAGATCATATAGAGTTTTTCTCTACAAATGCTCATCATCATTAAAAATACAATTTCTCACTATGGTCTCAAGGGGATGCATTAAGAGAGATTTCACTATATCCTTGTGGCTAATTGATTTATTAACGATGAGATCTGGGTATATAAGCAAAGCCTCAATAATAACGATGTTTTTAATGTCGCAAGTGATGGATGTTCATTTTATTGTTTTATACCATAGATTTCATTCGAAAAAATAAGAACAAAAATATGCGCAATGATACACACAACAAAATAGATTATTTCATGTCATGAATGGTAAGTAAAAAATTTATTTATGTACTAATTTTTTTACTACATATAATTAACCCAACAAAGGCATCGAAAATTCAGAAATCATATATTCTGCGCTTCAATCACAGTAATCTTCAGAATCTTCAATGATCATCTACGTAAAAACGGAGAGGTTAGCATGTAAGACAAAACATTTATATATGTCAAATGTATATTATTAAGAAAATATTAAAGTTCGTAAACAAATTTATTTGCTAGACATCTAAGGGATAAAATATAATTTTTTTCATATTCTAAACATCAATTTTTGTATAACTTTAAATTTTATTATTTATTAATTAAGTATTATCGAATTATTCCAGAAAAGTAATGGTATAAAAGGAACTGACAAAACAAAAACCAGATTACGTAATAGTCATATACTGATTTTCATTACTAAATTTGTAAATTTAAAGCTGGGGATCAACAGTGTGTAATTGATTTTTCTGATAATCAATTTAAAAATTAAACAAAAAAATGTCTTCAAGAGACGATTCGAACCTCACCTCAAGAGTGATGAAGTAAGTTTTTTTTATATATTTAATTCAGAAACTTACTAAGAATTATTGCAAAATTTGTCTCGATTAGTTTTTGGAATTCCATTCAATATCCATATACACCAATATCATCAACCTCAAACCGTTCACCTCGTCCACCTCGAACCCCACATATTCCGCCACCGGGTACACCACACTTCCAAATATTCAATAATCCTTATGATAAAGCTTTAGAAGAAATTAAGAGATATGAAGATTTTACTACAATTGGTATTATTTTGTTTTTTACATTAAAAATTACCGTTATGGAAATATTTAATATTTGTATATTCAAGATTGGGTTCAAGATGCAATACACGAGCGATCTAGAATGAATGCTTTGAGAACAGCAAATCGTTCTTCATGGAGTACTTGGTTACGCCTTTCTTATGAAGCTGGCCAATCATGGATTGTTGTGTCTATAGTCGGTAGTTTTTTTTACTTCATATATATTGTCAATGTAGAAAATATATACGCATCGATTATGTAAATATTTATTCGATGTCTGTAGGAGCGTTTATTGGTTTGAATGCAGCTTTAATCGATATTATCACAGAATGGCTATCAGATATAAAATCTGGATATTGTAAAAATTCCTGGTGGTTAAATCAAAAGTTTTGCTGTTGGGAAATCGAAGGAGAAGGTAAATAAATTTTTAACAATCATTTTTTTTAATAATTTTATAATAACATAATAATATAATACTTGGTTTTTTTTTTTAAAAAAAAAAAGATGATTCTTGTGAGCTTTGGCATGATTGGTCCCAACATTACATTATAAATTGGTTCTTTTATGTGTTATTTGCAGTAAGTGTTATATTATAATAGATTTACATTTATAATTTTTGAATTATCATTATCTAATAATGAATTCAGACGTTTTTTGCGGCAGTCTGTGCGTTTATGATACGTGCTTTTGCACCATATGCCGCTGGATCTGGTATTTCGGAAATTAAATGTATTCTTGCCGGATTTGTAATGAAAGGTTTCCTTGGAGGTCGAACATTACTTTTGAAGAGTGTTTGTTTGGTAATTAACGTGATTTAATTCATTCTTTATATGGTAATAAACAATAGTGATATAAATTTTTTATGTCTTTAATAGCCATTAGCAATTGCATCTGGATTAAGTGTTGGAAAAGAGGGACCTTCTGTTCACACTGCAGCTTGTGTTGGAAACATTGTTTCACGATTATTCAAAAGAAACAAAGGTTTTTAATCTTTTTTTTTGTTATTTTGATTTTATAATCGAATTCTGATGTTTACAATTGTTTAACAGCTAAAATGCGAGAGATTTTATCCGCTTCTTGCGCGGCAGGTGTTGCGGTAGCATTTGGCTCTCCTATTGGTGGTGTTTTATTTTCTTTCGAGGTTGGAAAATTTATTAAATATATTATATAATTTTTTAAGATTTATCTTGTATATTAATTTGAATTAATTCCTATTTGCAGGAAATGAGCTCAAATTTTCCTATGAAAACTCTTTGGCGAAGCTTCTTTTGTGCTTTAGTAGCCACCGTAGTTTTACAGGTTTGTTTTATGCTTACAAATTTTAAGCATTATTATTTTTCGTTAATACAGTTTTACCATATTCTATTAAGGGAATGAATCCATTCAGGACTGGAAAACTTGTAATGTTTCAAGTTACCTATGACCGAGGATGGCATTTTTTCGAAATTATCTTTTTCATCATATTGGGCATTTTTGGCGTATGGAATTTAGATTGATTTCTTTTTTTCAAAGAAAAGTTAATATAATTATTAATACATATATATATATTTTGTTTTTATATAAAAATTTAGGGTTTGTATGGTGCTCTGGTAATAAAATATAATATCAAAGTGCAACATTTTAGAAAGAAATATTTGAAAGGCTATGGTGTAGCAGAAGTAACCGCACTTGCTTTCATTACTGCTTTGATTGGATATTTTAACATATTTATGAAATTGGATATGACTGAAACTTTGGGTATTCTTTTTCAAGAGTGCGAATCTAAGACTCATGATTATGAAAATTTATGCGTGTATGTTATTGATGTCGAAAGTTATGAATGACGTTGGTTTATAATCACAGAATGTCTAATTTATAATTTTCCAAATCATTTAGTGATTCACAATCGTTTAGAATGGCGCGTTTATTGATAATTGCAACAATACTCAGAACTGGATTTGTCATAATCTCTTACGGAACCAAGGTATTTTCTTATCATTTTTGATTTAATTAGTTTAATTCAAAAAATCATTTGTCTATTGTCTTCAATTTAGGTCCCAGCAGGAATTTTTATACCTTCTATGGCAGTAGGTGCTACTTTTGGTAGATTTCTTGGTCTTTGTGTTAAGGCTTTGCAAAATTCATATCCAGATTTTCCATTATTCTCAACATGTAAACCCGATGCAACAGTAAGTAAAAATTCTTTTGTATTAATATTTTAATGGTCGTTACTAAATTTTCTTTGTATGGAAGTGTGTTACACCAGGAATGTATGCATTTTTGGGAGCTGCAGCTGCACTGGGGTAATTTTATCATCATCATAATAATAATTCATTGATTATATTATTTAAATTAATTAAAAAATAATTTAATTTCTATATAGTGGAGTTATGCATTTAACAGGTAAAAAAAAATTAATAATTATAATTTTTTTTCAAGGTATATTATTAAATACTATTCCTTTATTTATATAGTTTGTGTAGTTGTCATTATGTTTGAGTTGACAGGAGCTTTAACTTATATTTTGCCAACAATGGTAAGTTTACTTTGTGAATTATATTTTATTAGAAATGATATTAAAGAACGTTGTAATTTCTTTCAGATTACTTTGATGGTTACAAAGACTGTTGGTGGCTTGTTTGTGAAAGGTGGAATATATCCTTTTATTAACACCATTAGTTATCGTTTGATTTTAAAACTTAATACTATATGATCGTTAACTAAGACATACTGCTGATCAGATGATCAGACTAAACGGATTTCCATTTTTGGATAAAGAAGAATATTCTTTTGGAGTATCCGGTACAACATAAATTAATGTTATCATAATTATAAAATATAACGGAATTGAATGAAATTTTTTTAAAAATAAATATTAATTTAGTTGCTACTGTTATGAGGAAGCATGACTTAGAAGTAATGACTGCTTCTGATACAAAATTAGGTCAAATTGGTAAGTAGAATTATATTTAAAATCAATTATTCCTTATTTTTGATATATTTATGCGTAAAATTTGTATTTTAAAGATCAAATACTGTTGGAAACAAATTATCAGGGATTTCCAGTTGTACAAGATAAAACTAGTATGACGTTATTAGGTTATATTGGAAGAGTAGAATTAAAATATGCTATAGGTACAATAAGGGAAATGAAATTTTTTATAATTATTTGCTTATTTAGAACTTTAAGTTGATACTTTTATTTTAGATAAGGCGAAGAGAGTTCGTGGAACTTCAAATGATGCCCATTGTTTTTTTAACCCTGAAGATAATTTTTCAGATCCAGATAATAGCGGAGAAAGTTCATCTAATTTTATCGATTTCGGGCCATTCATAGACCAGGTTAAATAATTTATTAATGCATTTTAAAATAGTATGTAAAATCATAGTATTGACGTAGTTTATATTTAATAGACGCCGATCACTGTGCATCCGAGATTACCGCTTGAAACGGTCATGGATTTGTTTAAGAAAATGGGGTTAGTATTTTAACTATCAACTAAGTTAATATTAATAAGAGGTTAACATGATTTGTTTTTTAGACCGCGTGTTATTCTCATAGAACATGAAGGTAAATTAGTAGGACTTATAACCGTGAAAGATGTGTTAAAATATATTGCAAGGAAAGAGGCTGAAGAGGAAAATGATGAACTAGGTGTTGAACTGATTAGTAACGATATTGATGATAATAGCAGTAATAGTTATAGTTCTGGTTTGGTTGGAAAGAAAAGAGGTATATTATTAACAGAATTAGGGAAGAGTAGAGAGAACGATTTATAGTGGCTTACATTTGGCGAAGTTTATAAAAGAGGAACATTTAGAATCAAACAGAAAACTAACTAAATTTTTGAAGTATACAAGTATATAATAACTAATTATGCATACTGTCAGCAAATATTTTTTAATAGATTATTAGTATTATTTATTTTAATTAGATATATATTTTTTCATTTTGAGAATTTCCTAATACATCATGGCAAATTCGTCGGTATATCATAAATGATTATATATTTAATGATTGGGAGATTATGTGTTAATTATATTATGTGCTGTTTGGAAAGTAAATAGAACTGAACTTTGATCAATATTATAGCGTTATAATAAATTTATATATCATATGATGTTTTATTGAACCAAGAAAATTAATTTGGATAGTAAAATCTTTTTGAACAAACGTTGCAACTGTTAAAAAGATTAGTCGAAAAAATAATTAGAAGCCCAAAATATGGGTCCTTAACAATAGAAAGGGAACCTTTATATGATCTAATATTACAAGAAAATGAGTAGGTCAATAAATACTTGTTTCGTCCAATTTGTTACCTTTCAATTTTTTTTAGACGATCCAATTTCATTTTAATTTATGAGGAATTGACAGAATTTTACTTGAGGTAATTTTATGTTTGCGCGGCTGTAGCTTTTATGTAAATTAAATTAATGATTTTGTTTTCTTTAGGTTTCAATTTTTTATTCTTAAATTTATTTTTGAATCATTAACATCGATTTATTCAATAAATTTCATTTCATTTGTTCTTTATTCTTAGTCGATATTATTTATTTATTTATTTAATTTCGTTGGATCCTTTATGATTATTTTTATTTTGCTCTCCAAATAGACTAATTTTACTATAAAGCAAACCAACATATACAAAAAAAAATTAAAAATTTTTTTTTTTGGATCTTGGCAAGCCTTCTCTTCGGTTTTGTATGAATCAACTCAATAATAACGGTTCGTATCAATCATTTTTTGGATGATTTTCTCAATATGAGCTTTACATAATGAATAAAAATTCTAAAAATTCTAAAAATAATAATAAAAATAATAATTATAATAAAATATACCTGTTCATACCTTTGAACAGGGCTGTTATGGTTATGAAAGTGAATGTATTTGTTGTGTTTGTGAAGATTGTGTGTTTGAAGATGTATATAATTTCAAATGAAATAAATGTAATTCTTTTTCAAAATATTTTGTTCAATAATTTTTTCTCCGGCTTCTTTAATAAATTTTCACCTTTCAAGGTCACCGATCTCTTCTTTC